GTCGGGCAGACATGTATCCACCAAACGGTCCCACGTAAGTGATTTAGTCTGTAAAGAAGTCCACTGTTAAACCAGACCTGTTATTGACTCACGGATTTGTTTTGCAACGCTTATCTTGGTATCCATGAACGCAGAATTATACCTGTACTCTGCTACCTTCACTTGCCTCTTGTAAATCTAATTGTCAAAATCAAACAGCTGGGATCAAAATATGCTGCAATTGAAAAGTATTCAACGTGCTGGAGAATGTGGGATGCATTATTCCAATAAATGATAAAAATGTATAAAGTTCCCCATCTCCAATTGCTTTTATTTAGTAGTTAGTCCAAAATATAAATATACAATGATATGAGATCTACTGTTTTTAATAAATGCAAAAAGCAATAAATCAACTCATCTGAGAAACTGAAAAAAGGAAATGACGGGGATTTTTGTGATCAATGAATGGCTAAATGATTGAAATGCTTGTTAGTTTTCAGCTATTTGTTTCCACACTTAGATTAAACCAGGATTCAACTAAAACGGGCCTGTCAGCCTTCAGCGGCTGCATGTTACCTCCACATGCATTACATTTCAAATGAATTCAAACACCGATAAATAAACCCTGTCTACTCGGTGATGTAGTGAGTTGGATGTAATCAATTGTATCGTCGGGCTTCAGTAGTGTGACAGCTTTCCTTTTTTAATCAGGTTCAAAGGAGCCGTCAGCTGGTACACTGTGGACCTCGACTCACCGCCCAGCAAGAGATGGACGACTCTAATTACTGACAAGAAAACAGATGTAAGAGCGCTGTCAAGTACTTTATATCACTCTCACAGAAATATCCCTTGTTTTTTTAACATTTGATCTCTTCTTTAAAGCTGGTCAACATGATTCAGGCCATCAGAGACTTGGCTAATGCTTTTGTTCCGAGTGGGAGGCTGGTAGAGCTGGTGGACGTTACGCTGGTGAGTTATTTCTCTCTGAAATGCTTTCCTTAGAATAACTGCTATATTTGTATTGTATTGAAGGCTTTATGACTGCAGTGTGTTATTATGTTCTGCAGCCTATTATGGCGGACACATTCCCAAAGCCTTTTGGTGAGGAAATGAAAGGAATCGCAGAGGCTTCAGGGGTTCCTCTTGGTAAGAAAACACACATTCATCCTATTAAATCACTGCTTTTTAAAAAGTCCCATTGACCTCTGCCCTTTTGCTTTCTTCATTTTTAAAATATAGGTGAAGTTGTCTTGTTCAACATCTTCTATGAGGTGTTCACTGTGTGCACATCAGTTGTAGCAGAAGACAAAAATGGTGGGTCATTAAGAGAAATTGATGATTTAACTAGTTTTTCCTTATCTTACAAACTACTAGAATAATTCTATATTGGTACTGAAATGCTTTTGGGATTTGCACTCCTATAGGGAACCTCATCCATGGCAGAAATCTGGATTTTGGATTATTTATGGGGTAAGTAAACACCCCATTACACATTTTAAGCTTGATCGTCCTGATGTTGTAAAAAGAAGAAAAACAACCTCTCATGAGACGGGACTGATTCCTCTTCACAGCTGGGACATGAAAAACAAGTCGTGGATCATTAGTGAGAAGCTGAAGCCTCTGGTGGTCAACCTCGACTTCAAGAGAAATAATCAGACAGTCTTCAAGTCTACAAACTTCGCTGGATATGTTGGCATGCTGACTGGCATCAAGCCTGTAAGTCAATTCGTCTTAGAACTTGAGATTTAAAATGCGTTAAACATTATTAATATCCAACAATATTTTCTGGGTTGGATATACTCCCTGCTCACTGGATGTAAGAAACATATTTGTCTTCTCTTTCCCTAGCACTTGTTCACTCTCACTATGAACGAGCGCTTCAGCCTGGATGGAGGATACATTGGTGAGTGATTATCTGTTTTGCATTTAGAGATGAGGTCTCTGTTTTGTTTGCTTCTTGTCGTCATCTAAATGTGTTCACATGCAGGAATCCTGGAGTGGATCTTGGGAAAGAGAGATGGGATGTGGATGAGCTTCCTCACTCGCTCAGTTCTGGAAAAGGCCAACAGGTATTCAGACTCGGAAAGAATACCTTTATTCGGCCCACAAAGGGGGAATCCTCTTTTGATACTTAAAGGAACATTGTGGAGTTTTTGGCTACTGTTGTTGCAGAGTGTTATATATGTGTTACCACTAACAGGCCACTAGTGTTAGTATCTTGAGTTCTAGCTGTTTGGTATAACCATTCAACACAATCAAAACAGTATTGATATCTACAGTACGTCTGATGAGAGTAATGATTATAATCTAAGCGGCACAGGATAACCATTTTTAAAAATAAAAAGCTTTAATCCCTTTTTGAGGCAACATTTTCTTTAATTAAATAGTATTCTATTCTCTATATAAGAGAAAAAGATTCAAGAAGAGTAAAATAAATTGATAAAAATAAGCACAATTTGACTTAATGACAATATTGCACTTACAATGAATGTAATATGAATGTATTACACTGCAATCTGAGGGCATAGTCCCATGTTTAATATTTAATACATGTTCAAAACTATGGTTTAAAAAGAACTAACCGTTAAAGCAGGATTTCTCTGGATGCAGACTTTGAGCATAAAGACTGAATATCTCTTCTCTGTGTCGAGTGATGAAGGCTCTGCACCAACATTGAGTGTTTTCCCGTTCTCTCCAGCTATGAGGAAGCCAAAATGCTCCTGGCTCAGACCAAGCTGCTGGCTCCCGCGTACTTCATCCTGGGAGGAAACCAGACGGGCCAGGGCTGCATCATCACCCGCTCCAGGCTGCTCAGCATCGATATTCTGGAGTGAGTACTGGAGCTTACTCCGTGATTGGAAAGCATTTAATGTCAACTATTAAAGTTTGTCTGCATTCCTGAATAGGGATTAACATTTTGAATGCTTAATCACTGCAAACGTTTGGATTCAAAATACAGGCAGATGTATCAGAACATAATGAAATGAGATGAAATGCAGTCATTTTCCATGAATTGTGCCTTTTATGTCTAGTTTTTTTGTGCCAGTGGATCAAAGTTAGTTTTTTCTTGCGCAATTAGGAACTGATGACCGCTTTGGTTTCAGATCATCTGATTAAAACTATTTCACGTGTTTTTCCTTGTGAAGCTGCATGTCACATGTCGAGTTATTTTTTATTTCATTGTTGTATTTCAGGATTGACCTGAAGCTGGGCCGTTGGTACGTCTTGGAGACAAACTACGATCACTGGAAGGAGCCTCTGTTCCTGGACGACCGCAGAACTCCTGCCATGAAGTGCATGAACCAGACCACGCAGACAGTGAGTGTTTCAGATCTTAGTACTAGTAGTTCGCCAAATAAATGACATATAGCATAGTTTGTCATAAAAATTGGAAATAGGGTAGCCATCCTAGGTAAGCATGTGACCCAGGTTCATTCTGACCCACAGCCCATTCCTGTCCATCTTCCGATGTGCTATCAAAGGAATAAAAAATAAAAAAGGGAAATAAATTCCTAGTGTAGCTTGCCTTAAAAATGTCTGCGTATTTTGCATAGAATGCCATAAGTAATTTCATTGTTTTATTATTTTACAAAACATGTCATACATTTCCTACAAGAATCAAAGTACAGTATGCTATAACATTTTTAGAAAAAGTAATTTTAGTGTATAATAAAAATATCACGCTGTGTGCCATAAAATGTCACAATCCTCGAAAAGTCAAAGCATAGTATGATTTTATTTAAAAAAAAAAAAAAAAAAAATTCCAGATGATAAATCTCCATCATGCTAGTCTTGTGATTTAAGTCACATTCCTGTTTGATCAAAGTCATGAGACACTTTTTGATCTCTTTTTTGTTTTTCTTAGAATATCACACTGAAGACCATGTATGATGTCCTCTCAACCAAACCAATGCTGAACAAGGTGAGTCTTTTTAAATAACGTGTTTCTGTTTATGAATGAAATGCAAACAGAATTGCTTCAGTGTAACTAACTTTTCTTATCGTGTTTCTCAGTTGACGACGTACACAACGCTGATGCAGGTGTCTGAGGGTTCGCTGGAGTCGTACATCCGCAACTGTCCAAACCCCTGCATGCCCTGGTAACACTCGACCCCTGAACCCAGATCAGTTTGTGGATAACTCAAGAGGGGAGGCTGTGATGCTCAGCTGATCTCGGGTCACAAGTTGAGGTTGCTCCTTTTTAACTATTGCACAGATGTCAAATCAAATAAACCAAAGTTTGTCGTTACGTTTTTCTGATGATTTAGGAATCCTTAAAGCTTTGATAAAAAGACTTGATCCTTAATTTTTTGCCGTTAGGGGAAATTGATAGAGCGAATCAAACTTGTATAAATATTTTCCCTCGCATAGTTTTTAGTGTAATTATGTGGTATGAGTGCATGTGCATCTCAACATGGGCGTAGGACCCCGGAGATAAACGCTTGTTAATTAAATGAATGCAAACTATTCATCCGTTTTGTTTGATGCCTCGACTGTAGCCCACTCACCAGCTTGTGCCTCCACACCGTGACCCTGATTTAGTCTTATTTTGCACAGGTTGCCAGTTAAAATGTCAAGAACTAACTTACAGGTACTGAGACCACTGATACTGACTAATGTACCTCAAAGGTGTCCTTCACTGTATTTGTTTTTTAAAAGATGGTTAATAAAATGATTCTGAAATTTAATTTTCTACTTGCATTTCTGGTGTTTTTAAATTTGTGAGCGTGATATATTATTTTCAATAGGGCTGCATCCAATTCATATTTTAATTGACATCTTACGAATATTTCCCCCATTAATCAATAAATCGTTTTGTCCATAAAATGAGAAACAATTTCCTAGAGGACGCAAGGATGACTTCAGATGTTCAAAACCCAGAAAGTATTATTAAGGATTACTATCTTCTAGGAACAGAAACGCAACAAATGTCACATTTTAGAAGCTGGATCTTTGCTTTTTGACAAATGATTAATAGATCATTGAAATTGTGGCAAACGTTTTCAATACACACATCATTCTTTAAAGTTCCAGCATTTTATTATTTCAAACTTATTACTTTAGTCAACATTTTAATTACATGGAAATCAATGGAGGGAAAACAGAACAGTATATAAAGATGTGTTAACAGGGATAAAATGTAAACCTAAGCTTTGAGCTCTGACGAAGGAAAAAGTGTTCAAGCTGGGGAAAGGAATCGCTCTGATCAGCCGGGCTACAACTGAACTTCAATCCTTCTGTCAGCTCTGTATCATTAGGAGTCAAGTGCAGAAAGACGAGCCGTGTAACAACAAGGCCAAGACAAAAAAACACTTAAAACCAAATCACAATACATGTTGAATCCCAGAACCAAGGAGACTAAGGCGAATCTGAACAGGAGTTTAAGGACTATAAAGATTCAGACAGAGGCTTAACTGTCAATCATCAGCAGCATAAAGACCACCCCCTCCCCAGATCACCCACAAATCACAATAAACATTCGGGAATAAAATAAACTAAGTGTTGATTATTTGTAGTTTTATCCGTTGTGTGTCAAGAGTCACAGCTAACTTGTAACAGATATTTTGAGCCTTCGCTCGTTAAAACTAACAGATAGAGAATCAACAACCGTACATCCAGAATAGATTGAGGGTGCAAGCATAGTGTTGCTAAAAACAAACAGTAGATTTAGAGACATCTGTAAAAATCTTTACACGCTCTGGGCTCCGACAGTGTCTGAAAAACAAGAGAAAACATCATTTACTCTCACAGGGTTTCACTCATTATGTACAAACACACATTCCTGCATGGATGTAAACATGGCAACAAGAAACAGTGTGTTCAACTCAGCTTTAATGCTTACCTGGTTCCTTCAGGGCCTGCGGGTTTCCCACCAGCCCCGTCAGCGATTCAGTGTTCCCGTTGAGGATCTCTACTGACAGGCTGTTATTCTGCTGCTCCTCCACTATCCTCTTCTGCAGTTCCTCCTGACGGGACAGCACGCAGCGTATCATGAGACAAAGAGGCTTCACAGTGGATTACACACCTTTACTTATCAGTCACTTAAAGAGCATCTTGCAGGTTGTTGTTTTTTCTACATTTATGTTTAAACTTGCTTGAAAATTACAATTAAAAAAGTGAATGTAGGATTTGATATGTTTTACGAGACATAAGGGCAGGAATTCAGACGGAAAGGAGCAATTTTGAGCTCTGCTCTTAAAAACGGCTTTTTTTTAAGGTCATACGTCAAACGCGTCATATTACATCACAAAGGGGAAACATCTCCGCTCTCTGACCGCGGGTATAGTTAGTAATTGCGTTGAGTTGAGCGGTTGTGTTTTAGTGAGCTGGTATTTTTCGGTAGTTTTACATTGTATTTCACCATTTGTAATCATGGTGCAGTATTGTGTTTGTGCAGGTTGCACAAATACCAGCCTGTCAGGACATCGAGTCCACAGTAAAAAGGACCGGAGCTAGCGTTCGTTCCTGGGTGCGTTGTGCATCCACCTCCCTGCAGCACATACTCTCCACAGCTTTATCAGGAAGCCGTATTACATTTCTCTCCCCCCCCTTCGCTGCATCAAGCCATTTACAACGACATATCGGGATACCCAAAACAGAGTACATCGTCGTGGTCGGCTGAAGGACTC